TCTAGTTCAGTTCTAGTTCAGTTCTAGTTCAGTTCTAGTTCAGTTCTAGTTCAGTTCTAGTTCAGTCTAGTTCAGTTCTAGTTCAGTTCTAGTTCAGTTCTAGTTCAGTTCTAGTTCAGTTCTAGTTCAGTTCTAGTTCAGTTCTAGTTCAGTTCTAGTTCAGTTCTAGTTCAGTTCTAGTTCAGTTCTAGTTCAGTTCTAGTTCAGTTCTAGTTCAGTTCTAGTTCAGTTCTAGTTCAGTTCTAGTTCAGTTCTAGTTCAGTTCTAGTTAGTTCTAGTTCAGTTCTAGTTCAGTTCTAGTTCAGTTCTAGTTCAGTTCTAGTTCAGTTCTAGTTCTAGTTCAGTTCTAGTTCAGTTCTAGTTCAGTTCTAGTTCAGTTCTAGTTCTAGTTCAGTTCTAGTTCAGTTCTAGTTCAGTTCTAGTTCAGTTCTAGTTCAGTTCTAGTTCAGTTCTAGTTCAGTTCTAGTTCAGTTCTAGTTCAGTTCTAGTTCAGTTCTAGTTCAGTTCTAGTTCAGTTCTAGTTCAGTTCTAGTTCAGTTCTAGTTCAGTTCTAGTTCAGTTCTAGTTCAGTTCTAGTTCAGTTCCAGTTCAGTTCTAGTTCAGTTCTAGTTCAGTTCTAGTTCAGTTCTAGTTCAGTTCTAGTTCAGTTCTAGTTCAGTTCTAGTTCAGTTCTAGTTCAGTTCTAGTTCAGTTCTAGTTCAGTTCTAGTTCAGTTCTAGTTCAGTTCTAGTTCAGTTCTAGTTCAGTTCTATTTTGTTCAGTTCTAGTTCTAGTTCAGTTCCAGTTCAGTTCTAGTTCAGTTCTAGTTCAGTTCTAGTTCAATTCTAGTTCAGTTCTAGTTCAGTTCTAGTTCAGTTCTAGTTCAGTTCTAGTTCAGTTCTAGTTCAGTTCTAGTTCAGTTCTAGTTCAGTTCTAGTTCAGTTCTAGTTCAGTTCTAGTTCAGTTCTAGTTCAGTTCTAGTTCAGTTCTAGTTCAGTTCTAGTTCAGTTCTAGTTCAGTTCTAGTTCAGTTCTAGTTCAGTTCTAGTTCAGTTCTAGTTCAGTTCTAGTTCAGTTCTAGTTCAGTTCTAGTTCAGTTCTAGTTCAGTTCTAGTTCAGTTCTAGTTCAGTTCTAGTTCAGTTCTAGTTCAGTTCTAGTTCAGTTCTAGTTCAGTTCTAGTTCAGTTCTAGTTCAGTTCTAGTTCAGTTCTAGTTCAGTTCTAGTTCAGTTCTAGTTCAAAATCAAATCTAGTTCAGTTCTAGTTCAGTTCTAGTTCAGTTCTAGTTCAGTTCTAGTTCTAGTTCAGTTCTAGTTCTAGTAGTTCAGTTCTAGTTCTATTCAGTTCTAGTTCAGTTCTAGTTCAGTTCTAGTTCAGTTCTAGTTCAGTTCTAGTTCAGTTCTAGTTCAGTTCTAGTTCAGTTCTAGTTCAGTTCTAGTTCAGTTCTAGTTCAGTTTCTAGTTCAGTTCTAGTTCAGTTTTAGTACAGTTCTAGTTTATTCTAGTTTTAGTTCTAGTTCAGTTTTAGATCAGTTGTAGGTCGCTCTCACTCCTTTTAATTGAAATTTTACATAGCAATCAATGAAGAGAATATTATAACCTATCTAGGATGTCTCACAGTTAGAGACAATTTCTGTTTCCAGTGTATAACCGTCCAATATAATCCAATTTACTCCTAGGTATTTTAGTTCGTTATAGGCTCGAATGTTTGTAAAATGACTAATTTTTTAACCTCAAAAAACTTCGACAACCTCCCTTTTCAATTTAACGCCGAAGAAATCAAGAATTGGAAAGACATCCTTAGTGCCTGATTAACGTGATCAGGAAGATCAAGCGTGGTGAATGAGTAAATAGTCGTGCGAAACAGCACATCCATGATGGTAACTTACCAGTGCGATAGCTAAAAGCTAAAATGCTCTCAAACTGAGGGAAGAATATCGCCAAAATGGGGAATGTTTGTAGAAAAGAAAACCACTCTGGGGCCGGTTACAGACCACTTTCTCACTTTCCCAGTATCCCAACATATTTATGGGACGGATATGACTATTCCTAGTCATCATAGATTCAAGCTCTGTGGGCATTGAATAAGCGAAAGTTGTATGATGAAAGTGTAATGACCTGGATGAGGTTTGGTGCCGGTACCAATACCAATATATTTATGGGTTATTGGTTCATCATTCGAACAGAGTAAAGCGACGGATAAGACTATTCCTAGTCATAATAGATTCAAGCTCTGTGGATCAACTGTAAAACTAGCAGTAACGGACTGCAAAGTCTTTATTTCAGTTCGGGCTCTAATATTTGACAAGATAATCCGCAATGTAATTAAAAGAAATTACTATTCATAAGATATTTTAAGAAGCATTAACACATTATACGAAAATTAATTAAAATGTTCACTAAATAAAAAAAAATAGGCCGGATATTGAGGAAATGAATTTTAGTGTTAAACAAATAAAATATATAATTAAAAAATGTTAATGAGAAACTTATTTCTTTTCACTAAGCCTCAAGTGCTTATACGACTCATGGTTGAAAGAATTTCTCTCTGAAATGACAACTTAAATAAAACCAAATTATTATCATAACAATGTCAAACTTAAACACATTAACATGTATATAATTTTTATACCGTTATAATGCAACTTAACTTGACAGATGTCACGATAATATTGTAAGACACAGTATGAGAGAGAGAATGAATATTTAAAGAGGTGTTAAAAGTTGAATGAATGAAAAAATATGAATAGACAAAAATGCAATAGGAAAAAATTTTAGAAAAGTTGTTAAATTATAAAAAAAAAAACTAAGATAAATAGAAAGATAGAAAGAAATTTTGTGTGTTGGCTTTTTGTTTTTTTTTTTATTAAAATTTACTTTTTACAATTTGTTGTTTTATGGGTAAAAAATTTGTATGATCAGCAGGGCAACCAAAAGTAGTTATTTACGAAATTACAAAGTATTTTTTATGTATTAAACACAAAACTCTATTTTAGAAGAAAACTATTGGATGTGAATATAAAATAAGTTTTTAATGTGCGAGAAATGGTTTTTATGGTTCATAAGTGGTTATATTAATACGGATCGATAAATATCGCGCTGACCAGCTAAACAAGTTTAAAGATCAAGAATTGGATGCATTACTCCATGATGATTGTTGTCATACTCAACAAAACGCATTCTTCTAAGGAAGGGAAATTGGATGCCTTACGAATTGAAGTCGAAAGACAATAAAAAACGATTTTGCACATCCGAAATTCTATTTGAATGCTGTAAAAGAAAATGATTTCGCACTTAATCGTAGGTGATCATATTGCAAGCCCGCCCAAGCAGACAATAGGGTCCTATCTATTATGATCAACTGAAATTCTGCCAGACCATCACAGCAAACCCTTACAAAATGGAAGCAAGGAGTGGCCTAAAAACGATTACTCTGCTGGTCACCAACATTACTAAAGAAAACTGTCGCTAGAGAAAATTCTGATAAACTTTTGTAAAGAAAACTTCCTCTAGCACAAACCTTTCTAAAGAAAACTGACTTTCGAGAATCTCGAGAAAATCTTCTTAAAGAAACTTCGTCTAAAGCAAAGTATCGAAAGAAAACTTCCTCTGGAGCAAATATTTCTTAAAAAAACTTCCTCTAAAACAAATTTTATACAGAAAACTGTTTTAGAGAAACATGACTAAAGAAAACTGTCTTCAAAGAAACTTTTCTAAAGAAAACTGACTCTCGAGAAACTCTCATTAAAGAAACTTTATCTAGAGCAAATCTTCGTCTAGAGCAAACTTTTATAAAGAAAACTATCTTAAAGATACTCTTCTTAAAGAAACATCGGCTAGAGCAAACTTATCTAAATAAAACTTATTTTAGATAAACTTTCCAAAAGAAAACTCACTCTAGAGTCTAGACCAAAACTTTCTAAGGAAAACTCCCTCTTCAGAGAAGCTTTTCTAAAGAAAAGAGACATTCAAAAAACATTGTCTACAGCTAACGTTTTGTTGCGATCGTTGCAGAATGATGGGAATATGTCATAGTTAAGAATGGCCAATACAAAATATTTGAAAAACAAGTAAGAGTGCTATATTCGGCTGTGCCGAATCTTATATACCCTTCACCATAGTGTATTTAAAAAATATAAATTTTATAAAATTTAAATTTATGTACCTATTTAATTTTCCCGATTATATCATTATTATAGCAATAGCAAAACAAAATGAACAACAACAACGCTAAACGAAATAAACACTCAAAAAACAAAATACACACAAAACCAACAAACGAAACTGTACACCAACAAACAAAAACAATATACACAAGGCAATGAAACACACAGCCATCCAAACATACAAAACTGAATACACCAAGAAACAAAAACAATATACACATGCCAATGAAACACACAGCCATCCAAACATGTGAAACGAAATACTCAATGAATAAGCAGTGTTGTTGTTGTTGTTGCTTATTAATCAAAGCATGAAAAAATTGTCTTTTTTAATGAAATTTTCAGAGGTTGACTAGGATTTTTGCTTATATCTCCGTCATTTATGGACCGATTTTGCTGATTTTAAATAGCGATCTTCTCGAAAGCATGTCTAACAGGATTATTGAAGATTCGGATCTCGCCGATATCTGGGGTCCTCTAAAAACTGATTTCAACAGACAGACAGACAGACAGACGGACATGGCTTAATCGACTCCGCTATCTATAAGGATCCAGAATATATATACTTTATAGGGTCGGAAAATTATATTATAGAAATTACAAACGGAATGACAAACTTATATATACCCTTCTCACGAAGGTGAAGGGTATAAAAATTACGCATTTTTAAGATCATTCATATTTTCGGTTCCTCTGCTCAACATATTTGTAAATATTGTAGATACATAGGTATATAAAATTTGAAGAAAGATACAAAACAAAATGATTTAAACACAAACAGCACAAGTCGTCTTACTAAATATTAACATTTTTTCTATAACTTTTTTATTATTAATGTTGTTTTTGTTTTCTTTCCAGCAACATACGCAACGAATGAATTTAGCAACGCACACAAACTAACTGAAGACTAACGCATTGGAACCGGTTAATAGATAATGATAGTAATAATAAATAACATGCTTGGAAAAACGCATGAAAAATGTTACTGATCTTGGCCAGAGAAATCAATGAAAAAGAAAGTGAATGTTTCTACCGACAACGACTTGTCAGAAACAAGTAATAACGAAGAAAACGCCAACAAACACAAAAAGAAAATTTATTAAAATCCAGATTTTTCTAATGCAAACATTTTGAATGTATTTTTTTTTATTTTATTTTTTTTAACATAGAAAATTACGTTAGAAAACGATATTAATGATCAGTTGACTACAATTAAGTTGTCAGATAATATAGAAGAATTAATTTGAGATTAAGTTGAAGATTAAAAGCCCTTTAGTAAAAGTGAAACTTTTTGCGAAAATAACAAAACACACAAATGTTTAACACTATGCGAGAAGATGATATAGAATTTGCCATTAAGGTGGTAATAGTGGGCAATGGTGGAGTGGGTAAATCGTCTATGATACAACGTTACTGTAAAGGAATCTTTACAAAAGATTACAAAAAGACCATAGGAGTAGATTTCCTAGAAAGACAAATCGAAATCGATGGTGAGGATGTGCGCATTATGCTGTGGGATACAGCGGGACAAGAAGAATTCGATGCCATCACCAAAGCCTACTATCGAGGTGCTCAAGCCTGCGTTCTCACCTTCTCCACCACAGATCGAGCCTCTTTCGAAGCTGTGCGTGACTGGAAGCGTAAAGTAGAAAATGAATGTCAAGAAATACCCACAGTGATAGTTCAAAATAAAATCGATCTCATTGATCAGGCCGTAGTGACGGCCGATGAGGTGGAATCATTAGCTCAACAATTGAATTGTCGTCTTATAAGAACCTCCGTTAAGGAGGATGTTAATGTGGCTTCAGTATTTCGCTATTTGGCCACTAAATGTCATCAACTAAGTCAGGCCTCCTATACGGAACAGCAACAGCAGGGCTCTCAAAATAACGGTACACATAGTCATGAAAGCCACAAGACCATTAGTGCATTTAGTCCCACATTTACCAAATCAAAGTCCACGCCGGGCACTATAAAGTTGCAGAAAAGTACAACGGCACGAAAGCGTAAAATTATATTGAAAAAATGTGGCATAGTTTAAGAAAACAACAACAACAAAAAACATTTAAAAAACTAAAATAACACAAAAAAAACAAATCATATCTCATTATTGTTTGTATATGAAAGCGGCCAATAGTAATTAAAACTAAAACTAAAGATATTGTTACTCATCTCAAAAAATTCATCATCAAAAACGAATAAAACAAACATTGATTAATACATACTACAGTTTCCAAAAAATTATTGGAGCATAATTAACACCATCATATAGTACATATGAATATTTACGCTACACTCCTAATGATTTTGTAGAAATTTTTGTATAATTAATTATGAAGACGAAAATTTTTTTTAAATAAAATACAAGAGATAAACAAAAGTTATAATATTTTAACATAAAAACCCCACAACAAACGGTATGTCAATTTTATGCTAAAACTAAAAAAATCATTTAATTAAATTTATCTTTTGTTTTTCTATTGAATTTTTCCAGCTTAATTAAAACCAGTGCGTAGACATTGTAGACTCGCAAGCCACAAACCGGCTCCCTTTTCCCTGTTGTCCATTAATGAAAAAAAAAAATTAAAAAAATACTCATATTAAGATGGTTTTGACTGGAGACTGATACCATTTATAAATGTTACTAAAATAATTTTATTATAATTTCTACTTTAAACTAACTATTTACTACCAATTTCCTTAATTTGTATAGACCACAATTTTTATTTAAATTATCTTTTTTATAATTTGTGCAATTTCTTGAAAAACAAAAACATATGGTTAAACTATATTATATATGTAGTTGCATAAAAAAATCACTGTAATCTAAAAATATTTAGAAAATAAGTAAAATTTTTATTTTAAAACAAAAACGAAAATAAATGTATTACAACAACGAAAGAAAATAATTTGAAAATTATAAAAAGTGTAAATTTTTTCACAAAAAGCAGATCACTACGATTTTGAGAATTTTTAATAAAAATCTTTTATTTGGTTCAAACAATTATAGAAAATTTTCTAAAGAAAACTTCTTCTTGGCAATCTTTACTAAAGAAAACCGTAGCAAAAGAAAATTTTCTAAATAGCAAAATTATAAATACATAAATCTAAAGTTTTCTAGAGAAAACTAGTCTTAAGAAAAATCTCGAAAGAAAACTTCTTCAAAGAAACTTATTTAAAGAAATCCAACTTTCGAGAAACTCTTCTTAAGGAATTTAGTCTAAAGAAAACTTCTCTACAGCTAACTTTTCTAAAGTAAACTCTCTTTAAAGAAACTTTTCTGAAGAAAACTGGCTTTTGAGAAACTCTTCTTGAGGAAACTTCATCTATAGCAACTTTTCTAACGAAAACATCCTTTAGAAAAGCATACTGATCGCGAAATGGTGTCTTTAAATCGGTGTCAATGGCAAGGCGGATTGATATATGTAGATAAATCAAGTCAGGAAGTACTGACATATTTTAAGACAACAGATTCCACAAGGGAATCCATAACAACATCATATTGTATGTATGTAGGTACGAAAATATTTAACAGACTTCTTCCGCTCTATTCTTCAAACTAGTGCTGTTAAAGTATTGAGTAGTGGATATCGAGTATCGAGTATTTGCCCTATTTTTTGGGTACTCAATACTAAAAAGTAGTTACTCAATACTTTCAAACTTGTATATGGATTTAACTTATTTAAATTTAACGGCTATGATGTGAAAAAATACAGCTCTACAACTAATACAGATCATGTCATTATTAGAAATGCAACTCTTAGCAATATCAAATCAATCTAAAAATAATTTAAAAACTGCAATAATAGTTAAAAAGTTACAAATATTTATTGATGTCTGGTCTAACTTTTCTTAAAAAAAAGGAAAAATTTCTCGTTTTTAATTTAAAATAAAACCGTTAAAAGTATCGAGTAGTATTGAGTACCCAAACGAAAAGTATTGATTAGTATTGAGTAATCAAAAGTAGTAGAATATTACAGCACTACTTCAAACAGTATATGCATCACCAGCTCAATTTAATAAGTGCAAGAAAGTAGTGGGCATAAATTCCAACAAAGTTATAAAATTGCCATTATCTATAGTTATTATAGTTTTGGAGCCATGTTACTCACATTGTTATACCACCATGGACATTTTAAGGTCTCTTTTGATTTGTATTTTTCATATAAAGTTAACTAATTAAATCAAAATATACTTGAATACATTATTTTGCACTAACACATCCAACTTTTTTATAAAAATTTTATAATATTTCTATATTTTTCACAAAAATTTCTTCACTTGCAAAATTATCAAGACTTTGACGCCACAGGCGTCATACTTAATTTCATGTTTCTAGGTTCAATATTATAGAAATTTCAAAAAGTACCTTTTGACCAACGAAAAAGTAACAAAAAGTTCCCTTTTATAGATACTCACCTAATCAAGGCCCTACATGCTAAATTTCATGTTTCTAGGTTCAATATTATAGAAATTTCAAAAAGTACCTTTTGAAGAACGAAAAAGTAACAAAAAGTTCCCTTTTATAGATACTCACCTAATCAAGGCCCTACATGCTAAATTTTATGTTTCTAGGTTCAATATTATAGAAATTTCAAAAAGTACCTTTTGAAGAACGAAAAAGTAACAAAAAGTTCCCTTTTATAGTTACTCACCTAATCAAGGCCCTACATGCTAAATTTCATCTTTCTAGGTTCAATATTATAGAAAATTCATAAAGTACCTTTTGTAGAACGAAAAAGTACCAAAAAGTCCACTTTTATGTGTTCTCGTCTAATCCGGGCTCACATACTTAATTTCATGTTTCCTGGTTTAATTTTAAAGAAAACTCAAAAATGTACCTGTATACAACGAAAAAGTACAACGAAAAGTACTCTTTATTATTAATTTCATGTTTCGATTTCAATATCATAGAAAACTCAAAAGGTACCAGTTGGAGAATGAAAAAGTACCAAAAAATGTCACTTGGTACCGGGGTTCCAAATAACACCCCATTAGCATATTTAGTGTTTCTAAATCTAAAAATTTTATCTAAATTGGATCATTATGTTTGAATAAAATCAAATTTCCCATTTTTACCCCTTTCGGCAATTTTTTTCAAAAAGTACCAAAAATAGTTACAATTTTCACCCCTTAAACGTCCGAATATCCAAAAAGAACTAAATTCATATTTCTATTTTTTCGTCAAGTTATGAAGGAGTCAAAAATATTGTTTTAATGTTCATTGGTTTAAAAGATACATGGGTTGCAAAAAAGTACCAAAATACAGTTTTTACTCGTTTATTCCCTAAAGGGGCCGAATTTGAAAAAAGTACCAGACACCTGTCCTCTTATTATTTAAATGAACGACGATAAGCTTTAAACTGTTTTTAATACTTTTCTATTTTAGGAGATATGAGGTTACCGAATTTACCCTTTTTTACTCCCTATATAGATTTCGTGCCTTGAATTATACTGTAAAAACATTGTAATGTTCGACTTGAATTGAAGTTTCCTTTTCTCTGGAGAATGCTATTGAATTAAAGTGTTAAACACTTGAAATTTGAATGTTTAACAGAAATTAAACTTGTTTTAAACTTTAATTCCAGCAAGAATGCTTATTGGGTATAGTGTGACAATTATAAGGGATCTAAAGTCGACATAAAGCCCACAATGGTTAGTACCAATATTTTGCCCAAACAACATCTACATACATATATAAGATGACAACCTAGCCAGGTTGTATCCTCTAGGCCCGGGAAGACATTCTCTACAAAGCTATAAATTTGTATAAAAGGTGGCTTACCAATTGTTTCTTGTAAATATTCGGCCACCATAGTGTTTGGAGACAACAAGAGCTTCACTGAAAGGCACACCAGACAGACATCGCGCTCTATTATGGCTGTATGGTAGTGGTTCTGCTGAGATCAATGGTATAATAATAAGTATGTATCCTTGTATTAACCCCTGAATACGGCAATCAGCGTCCGTCCGTTGCCTCTAGGTGATAATATACCATGTCACCACTAGCCGACCGACCGACCACCCGCCTAGGTGACTAGGGAGGTATACAATTGCCACTCTCTTGTGGGCATTCTTCCAGGAGACCATCATGATGCCTCCTCCTTCTTAAAAAGAATGACGTTCTTTAGAGACAAATAAATAATTAATTAGCATCATTACTTACATTTTTTAATCTTCTAGATCTCACAAACAGGCCAAATCAATCAATATTTTTAGTAGGTATTTACACTTAAATACTTTTTCAATAAACAATTATGTTATTTTAAATAACAAAATTATATATATTTTATAACTTTTCTAAAAGAATTCAAACAATTTCCAAACGATCTACATTTGTTACAAACTCAAAATGTATGTATGTAAAATGACAGAATATCAAATAGAGAATTTGCATAAATTGGCGCGAAAACATGCAACTGCGCGCAAAAAATTGCAGAATTTTTCCTTCAAACAGATTTTGTTTGATGTCCCATTTAAAATACATTTGTTTGACGATCTAGGAAACTCTGGTTTGTCAAACAGCAATGTATTTTTCATATCTCGTGTTTGCTACAAACACAAAGTGTTTGAAGTAAAAGCAGCGAGTCGCGTAAACATTTGATGTCGACTTTTTGATAAGTTAGTACTCAATTATGCAACTCTGAATTTTTCCCATTATTATTTTAATACTACTTTTTACAACTCTGCTTGACTTTAATGCTCACAGAATTTTTTTTGTGGCATTTAATAGAAAACATTAAAATTTTGAGAATTTTTAAGCGTTAATTTATATAAAATTAAGAAAAAAATAGCAACATGCCTGTAACCGATGTAAGCAATATGAAGGTAAGTAAAATAAACTCAAGAAAAATTGGAGAAAATAACAAAAGCAAACAATTTAAAGGTGGCCGATCTAAAGCGTGAACTGAAAGTACGCGGACTTCCAATAACTGGCAATAAAAACGAATTACAGGAACGTTTACAAGCGGCTATGGAGGGTGAACCATTACTGGAGGATAGCTCATTGGTAGGTGAAGATATATTGGATGAAGAGGAGGGTGTTTTATCGGATGAGGAAAAGATTTTGGGTGCAGATGAAAATGAATTATTGAAGAGTCCCACCAGCACACCGACAACTATATTACCCAAAACTCTGGGCAGTGAAAATAAAGACGCCGCTGCTTTAGAAGATGATATACTAGAATCGCCCACAACTACCACCAAAAAAATCATACTAAAGCGTAAGAGTTCTTTTAACAGTGGCGGCACTACATTGGAGACAAATGCCAGCACGACCAAAGAAAATACTGAACCCTCTCCAGCCAAAGCAGTAAAAATGAGTGAACGCAATCCCATTACTATGGGCGAGGACAAGAAGCTTGACAATGAACAAGCTGGCGTCACCAAAAAAGTAAAAGAATTGACCATGCAGGAGAGATTAGAACTAAGAGCTAAAAAGTTTGGCCTTGAAACCAAAACACCAACAATAACGGCCAAGGAAAAGAATGCCGCCATTTCTGTGGCCCCCGTGGTAAGTAGCGAAAAACAAGTAGAATTATTAAAAAAGAGAGCAGAACGTTTTGGTTGTGTGACCTCAACGAATCTGGCCAAGTTGGATGCAGAAGAACGATTACTTAAACGTAAGCAACGTTTTGGCGGTGAAGTAGATTCTGCCACAAAAGCCAAAGTAGCTGAAAACAACACCATCACCACCACCGGCACTGCAACATCAAACGAAAACGATGAGTGGGCTGAAAAAGCCCGTAAACGTTTGGAACGTTTCAAGGGTAGTTCAACAACGCCTACAGAGTCTGCTGCTGCTGTAGTAACAGCATCAGCTACACCAGCCCCCGCTGCGGCTGCTACTAGCACTTAAACAAATCAATATATTTTGTAATTTTCTTTTTTTTTTTCTTAATAAATTACCTCAATGGAAACACGTTCAATATTTTCCATTAGGGTTTGAAGAGAATGATTTATTTTTTTTATATATATATATATACCCATGTATATTATTTACCTATATGTATGTAAAAGATGATGCTATGAACAAAAATTAACATGTTTCATACTCATTAATACTAAAAATTATTATTTTTTAAATGTATTTTTTTCTAATTTGAATAAAGGACAAAAATCTTATAAATTTAATAAATTTTTATTTGTAAGATTAAAAAATGTTAGTTTTTCTTCTTAGGGAATTTTGGAAGAGATCCATGATTGTTTTAGGAGATAAATTTAAACGATCATTAATCAAGAAATCTGTTATTAATGAACATTTCCTATACGAAATTTTTTGAAATTTCCATTACTAAATTTTTGGAAAATGATCTTGGTAAATTTTTCAAAAATTCCCTTTCATTAGCAAATATGTATTTGTAAAAATGTTCTTTCTTTAATAAATTTCACATAAAAAATAATAGGCAAATTTTAAGTTTGTTTTATTTTATATTTTTATTATATTTCTTTTGAATCACTACTGCACATTTAAATAAATTTATATTTTATTTAACATATTATTAACTATGTTTTCTTTTTGTTTTTTCTTGGGGGAAGTGTTAAATGATTTATGCAAAGATGAGAAGACTTCGGTAGGTTTTCTTTTAAACACAAACTTTATAAATATGTGAGTTGTTGTTTTAAATATTTAACTTGTGTTTTTTTCAAATTTTATTTTATATTAGTAGTTATTCAAAGAAATTTTTAAAAATTCTTCTTATGGTTATTAAACTTATAAAAATAAATAGCGAAACAGAAAATCAGAAGAAAATAATTAAATCATAAACAGAACGTGGCGGAGAGAAAAAATAAAAGTCTAAAAAATACTTATACATATATGTACTTAATAAAGATGTTGTTATTATTTAAAGAAAAATAATTTTTAAATTAAATGAATATCTTGTTAAAGGAAGTGAAAAGCCAAGGGTAAGAAAGGACAATAATAAGAAAATGTTTTAAAATCATATGAAACATTTTCAAAATTTAAGGGAGGGATAGGAGTTTACATTACGTTTACTGCTAAACAAATACAGGTGTGTGGGTAGGTTGATTTCTATTATTTAAAAATAAGTGACTTTAATGGTGCGACCATCCATGCGAGAGCCATCCATAAGAGCTAAAATTAGAGAAAACAAATTTTAATTGATTTCAGTAGCTTTTTAATAGTTTAGCTGTTTAAAAACTTACCAATCGCCAATTCAGCATCACGCTCCTTGAAGAAACGTACCACACCTACATCATTGCCGCGTATTTCAGCAAATTTAACTTCTCCCACATCACGGAATTTATCGCGTAGTGTTTGCCAAGTGCAGCTTAGAGGAATCTGTATTGAAATTTTTAATATAATTTGTTTTTTTTTTTTTTTTATTAGCAAATCAATAAGTACTTACATTCTTGATTATAATGGTGTCAGATTTGCGTACATTACCACCCACATTACCAGGATTATTGCCTCCTGCACCACCACTATACATATCTATGGCATTGCCTGAATTGTATTCATTGTCGGGACCACCGCCTCCACTGGAGCTGTTGTAGGAATTAAAAGGGACTCCTCCCCCGCCACCACTGTTGCCGGCTTGTGTATTAAAATTTGACGAATTACCTCCAAACCCCGAACTATAATTATTGCCACCGGTACTATAGTTATTTGAAAGAGCTGCATTTGCTGGTGGCATAGAATCATCATTGCTGGCTCCTTGGTTGCCCAAGTTCAGGCCCAAATTATTAAGGGAGGTTGTCAGCAGAGGATTGGAGAGAGCAGCTCCTAAACCTCCCACTACATTAGTTAATGCCGCCAAGTTGGAGGTGTTTAAATTTCCCAAATTTAAACCCGGATTGGCATTCATTTGTTTGTTGTTGGGTCCTACAGGTGCTACTGGACTGGGTTGCACTACCTGGTTATTGCCAAACATACCACCCACATTCGAATTATTGCCCATACCCATATTGCCACCACCCATGTTGCCGCCCATGCCGCCGCCTCCACCCATCATATTGGCCGACATTTGTGGTTGATTATTTTGATTGTTGTTGGGTAAATTGCGTGAAACATCTTTTAAAGGTTCACCATTGGGACCCAAACCAATGCCCACACCTCCCAAACCTTCCGGCAACTTAAGCCCTTCACTCTTATCGGGTATACGATCCAAACGCACTGTCATACGACGATCGTACAACATTTGACGATCCAACATGGAAATGGCTTGCACAGCTTCTACCGGATGATCATATTCGATGACTGCGAAACCACGGCTATTGCCATCTTTGTCCAAAGATAAATCTACACTCTGCACTTTACCAGCCAGCTTAAAGACCTGCTTAAGTTTCTTCGAGTCCACTTTATAGTCAAGCTAGAAGGGGCGGGGAAAAAAGTAAAATATTTACCATAATTAATATATAACTTAAGCACTCTAAACCAACTATTGCCCGTAAAGACAGGCTTATTACTGTAATACCGTTATTACAACTGACTGACTGCATACTTTGCTAAATCAAAATGTTAATAAAATGTAAATATAATTCAATAAAAGGGCCGGCCATGAAGACAAGGACACACAAGTAGTGAACACAACTTGATTTACATTTGACTCTAACCAAAGTACAGGATCTCCATAGTTAACTAATTTTTAAATAAATTTTAGCAATACGATTCCTTTGTACAAAAAATTGTGTGTGTGTTGAGAAAATACGAAAGCGTTTAGATACTGTACAACTTTTCACATTGATTTTTGGTAAATAATTTCTTAAAGAAATCTACTTTTTAAAATGTTTTTAAAGACAAAACTTTAAAGTCAAGTTTCTTTTCTTTTGGATACATTAGACTGATCTGATGAAAGGAACCAAATAGCTAATTGGATTAAACAGCAGCCAAACAACGACCACCAAAAACACAGCTTAGGAAACAAGCGCAAAAAATAGTGTATTAAAGGCCCCAGGATTTGGTTATTTTTTTAGATATGTGAAAAAGGAAAACAAGCCCCGCAGTTTAATTTGCATGTTTGGCATGGAGTATTGCTAAAGCTAGTTTAATGCCGTATCTTCACAATGTATGATTTGAAGAATTTTTTTTTTTAAATTCTTTAATAGAAAAAGCTTTTTCGAAAAAAAAAGCTTTTTTTCCTGAAAAGATTTTTGAAAAAAGAGCTTGGAATTTAAAAAAAAAAATAGTTTTTTGGTAAAAAGCTTTTTAGGAAAACTTTTTTAGAAAAATTCATTTTCTATAAATTTTTTTTTCTTAATAAGTTTCTGAAAAAGCTTACTCGAAAAAAAGAGGAAAAATAATTTTTGAATAAAAGCTTAAAAAGTTTTTTTCATAAGAGCTTTGCAAAAAAAAAAAACTTAAAAAAAGTTTCTTACAAAAAAATCTTTTTCAAAAAAGTTTTTTACAAAAAGCATTTTAGGGAATAAGCTTTTCAGAAAATTTTTTTGGAAAAAACTTCTGAAGAAAGTTTTTACACAAAAACTTTTTAAACCCAAAAAAGACGTTTTTACTCAAAAAGTAAGAAAACGTATAGCTTTTTATGAAAACTTCGCAAAAAATTACACATTGTGAAAATGGTCGTTAAACAGTCGATGTTTATATATTAAATTAAACAAAATTAAACAGATTAAATAGTTGGAAGGATACTACAAGCCCAATTGTTTCTTGATTAAAAATGAATAAAAGAAATATAAATTATATTAATATTTAAAAAAACGTTGTGGCCCCATAAGAATTATTATATTTCTCTTGCTAAAACTTACACTACTTACACACACAAAGTATACTTCTCTCGAGTTATATAAGTAAAATATGTAGTCAAGATCAAAATATCGTCATCATCAATCATCATTAACTCATCAACAAATTAAAGTGTCAAAGATAAGAATCAAACGATTCCATTACTAGTTTTTATAAACATCATACTCACATTCGCAACAAAAACTTTATTATGCAAAGGTCCAGTAATGCCGAGACTCTCCAAAAACGAAGCAGAAAGACCATAATAATTATAATTCCCTTGTTGATTATTAAAATCATTTGCCATCATGTTAAAATTATTACGACCAGATCTAAAAGGAAGAATTCAACAATGTATATAAAAAAGCAAAACAAGGAAACAAACCATCAAATCAATCAAACAAGTTAAACAATTTCCTTTTTTAAACAAACGCAGCAAGGATAGATTTTAAATATACCAACAACTGCAATTATTGAATTTTATACTTTTTAATTTCATTTTTTCTTTTGTTTTGATCTTAGATCCTGTGTTGTTTATCATCAGTATTGTAGCAGATATATATACATACATAGAAAGTTAAATAATAAATATAAATGGTTACTTACAATATAACAAATTTTAACTTACAAAAGGCAGATGTTTCAAGAATACCTATTCAATAAATTCGAAAGAAATTTCTTTGAACAAAAATATTATTCCTTAAAAAGTGTTAGTGTATATTTCTTAGATCTCAAGACAAAATTAAACAAACCCCGAAGATGTACATATAGAATGCCATGTTAAAATGTTCATATGAAGGTTATAAAAAATCTATCAGGTAAGTTTTAAATTTATTCCTAAAAAACCAACGTTCTTTTGAAAATTTTAACAAACAAGAAAACTGCCCATTATAATTTCATTACAAACAGACTGACGTCGTTTAACTCATATTTTTACCTTTAAACAGATCACAGAAGGAATAGTCTACTAGAATACGTTAATGATAATATATTTAGTTTAACTATTCAACAAAAAGTGCTATTTTGAAACCACAAATATATCGATAGTTTACTTCAAGAGTGTCCTAATTCAAAAAACGAACTTTCGAAAAAAACGCCTTAACTGTTTTAAGTTTGTTATCTACTTCTTGAACATAACGCAAATAAAACCATTTAAAATATAAGTCTATTAAATGTTTCTTAATGATATTAGCATGAATTTACCAATAAACATGTTTAGTTTTGATAACATTCTTACCGAAAAATAATGGACATTTTTAGGAAACCAATTAAAACATTAAGAATGAATTTATACAGACGGTTATTTGGTAGTAATAAGTAAAAAATACTGAGTAAATTCTAAATTCATCTGATGTCGCATATCTACTACCCAAAATTTACATTAAAGAACCAAAATTGTTTAAAATTTCCTTCAAATTTCCACAAAATTTATAAAATAAAAAAAATTTGTTTACTTTTTCTCATAAATCAAATGAAATCTTTCATTTTGATTTAGAAGAAAAACAAAATAAACTAAAAAAAAACTCATAAAAACTACTTACGATCGATCGTCATCGCGTCGAGAAAATCCGCGATCACCGCCACGATCAACAGAGCCACCGCCGCCACGACCACCACCAACATTGCCGCCACCACCACCTCCAGCACCATCACGCATTATTCTACCATACTGATCACGCTGTTCACCATGATCTTCCTTCACTACCAATTCACGGCCATTCACCTCATAACGATTCATTTTTTCCAAGGCCTTTTCCACATTGTCAGGATCTTTAAATTCCACAATGCCACAACCGCGGGCTTTGCCACTTTCATCATGGAACAATTCAACATATTCCACAGAGCCAACAACACGTCTGAACAGATCTTTAAGATCTTGCCAGCGATAATCGTATGGAATATTTGAAATGTAAATGCGGCAATTGCGTCTTTCTCGACTGCGATCACGATTAACGCTGCCACCGCCATTTCCGCCACCACCGGTACTGCCGGGTGCATCGGCATCGGAAAAGCGGGAACCACGTGCCCCACGTCCACGGCGATCACGATCCTTTTCGCGATTCTCTACCAGATTGCTATTATCCATTTTCAAAATGCTCGTCCTTTGTTAAGTAATAAAACTGGTATATAGAAAATATCCAAAAGAAAAATAGGTTAAGAAAAAACGACGCCACAAAAATAATGAAACAAGAACATTTTTGCAAAATTGTGTATAAGAAAATAAAAATGGCGTTCTTTTGCAGAAATGTTTGTTTTTCCAAGGCACTTTTTCAAATACTTACAATTTATGGTTGTTTTTTAGTTTTCTTAAAATTTATTGCAATATTTTATTCAAATTGTTGTCACGGTTCACTATTTCACATAAAATATTAACAATTCTTTTCGTTTTGCCGACAAAAATGCAAATAATAATAGCCGAAAAACACGGCAGCAGTAAAGTTCACAAAACAATGCCTGAAAAATGGCGTACGTAGAGCAGAGCCCTGCGCCGACAAATATTAACGCGGCGGCGGCTGACACTAAAAATATCGACGACGGCTTAAAATCGACAGTAAGCCGGCTTAGTTATCAAATACGTTTAAATTTTCAACGATTGTAAATAAAAACGGAAGATATTTAAAAGTGGGATTTTGGAAGCAAATATATAGTTTATAACAACAAAACATGGTATATTAATTATAAGGTAGTGTTAAGAGAACAGCTAAAGCCCACTTCACACGAGCACACAAGTAATATGATCTGTCAGAATTTTGTGTAGAAGAGATCGGATGGGATCGTCTAAACGCAATATCACAAAGTATACAGAGGTGTCACTTTTGACATTTAAAAAGTCTAAAATCAGCTTTTGTTTGATTTTGAAATTGTTTGGTGAGTCGAGGTATATAAAATACAGCTAAAAAAATCATTGAAATCGTTTTGTGCGAAAGAGAGGGAAATAGTTTTTTGCTCGTGACGCCTCTGTATACCCTGTGGCAATATGTTATAAAACCATCACACATTGAGAGAAAATACGGATGGAAAATTTGACAGTCGTATGGCTCTCTTCATTTCTTGAAATGATTCAAAAAACAAGCAAGTCGCATTTTTATGTAAACACATACAAAAAAAGTGAAACAACTGTTTCCATCTTACTTTGTTATTGTTTTATACCAATCGTGTAAACACAAAAAATATAAATCATACGACTTTTATTCTCTTTTTTGTCATACGGATGGAATTTCATTTTACTTTTTCATTAGACTTGTCGTATGTAAAGTGTTATCGTCTGAAATGCCCTTAATTGTTTTTTGCTAGTATACTTTTATTTTTTTATATATGGAGTTTGGCAGCAAAGAATATAAAGAAATTGGGGCTTGTCAGTTGGTACGTAAAGGAGTTGTCATTCGGTACCTAACTCTAAGTATGTATTGGTAGAATTTTTGTATTAGTATTGGAGCTCCAACCACTTTCACCACACTTTCCAAACATACATACTTGCATAAAATCGTACATACAAATTTTAGGAAAAATAAATAACATTTAAATTTCTACATTCGCAGATTTTTTAATTTATTTTGTCCACATCTAATCAGTAAACATTTAATAAATATATTTTTCGGACTTAAAATCTCTTTTTTTGCAAAAAAATAAGTTTATTTTAAATAATTTGTTCATTTTCAATACCAAAATATACAACTTTGTTTTGTCAATTTTAATTTCAACACACAAAAATTAATTGTCAAAAAAATTAAAAAAATATTTTTTTAGTTTGTGAAAAATAAAAATATTTCGGATTGTTAAATGCGATAAAATTGTGTAAAAAATTAAAAAATAGTTATGTGTTTGTGAAAAAACGTCGTTCAAGTCCTATTATCCCGGTATTTTCGCGAAAAAGTTTTGAAGTATTGTGAGAGAATTGAGTTCTCACAAGTGTGTTGAATTTACACAGAACTCGTCTGTGAAGAGAAGGAAATGTTATTGTTGTAAAACAATGTCATAGTCCAACTTCTTATTATTCTTTGTTTGACAGCGTGCTGGCACCAAATATATTAATTATAAGGTAGTATCGAATTCAAAAAAACGGAGCGAATTCATTTTATGTTTTATATATGGAGTTTAACAGTATGCCTATACTTTAAGCGACACGGCCACACATCAAATTTGTTTGACTCAAACGGTAAGTTTTTTTATTGTGTTAGTGAAAAAACTCACATGTATGTATGCGGTGTGAGTTTTTTTACTAACACAATCCAAAAACATACCGTTTGAGTCAAACAGTTTGATGCGTCGCCAAGGCGCTTTAAAGTGCCAGCACACTGTCAAACTACATGTAAAAAAATCAAGAGTGTATTAGGAAAAAACTATCAGCTGCTCTCTTAACACTACCTTATAATTAATATACCTTGGCTAGCACTTTGAATTGTAGGCATGCCGAAACTAATAAGGTGAAGTCATTTCAACAGCTGATTGTTTTTTTGTCCATGAAAATTTAGCCCGAAGCTGTCAAACTCCATATAAAAAATTCTCTCTCAAACCCGACGCTGTCAAACTACATAATATTTATGAAATTTTTTATATATTATATATTGCAGGCAAGGCGAATTCAGATAAGGTGGTGGCAGTTCGGTAACAACAAAATTTTCCGAGTTTTTGCATTTAGCACGCACTGATGTGAAATTTTTATATTTTATAAAAAATACACCTAATTACGGCCAAGGTATTGTATTCATTTAATGAAAATATTTTGTGAAATTTTTATATTTTATAAAAAATACACATAAAAATATTAAATTATGTGAAGATAATATACTCTGAGTGGAGTAATGATTGTTCCAAATGAAAAATTCGTCTCCAGCAAATTAATTTTGCAATACTTAAGTTTGTGCCAAAAATTATGAAAATTAATATTTTTGTGAAAAATAAACATAAAAATGTAAAAATTTACAGAAAAATTATATACCGAATTAAAGGTCTTTGTTGTAAATCGACATTTCTTTTTTACCTTCAAAATTTAGCGATTTTTATTTATGCTCTAAAGTTGTCTATACTGTTTCTATAAAATCCTCTCTGCATTAATCTATTACAATTTTCTTCAGCGATATGGTAACATCAGCACAGCTGTTTTACATGTTTTCTTTTTTGTGGTGTTAAAAACGGTGGATGGACAATAAATACCCGCCGGTTTTATTGAAAATTTTATTAAAATGTCCGGAATTACCAAAGTAATTAATGTTACGCAGAGTGTCAGGAATCTTTGTTATTCCATAGGCAACTTGTCATTGCAACAAGCACAAAAGAATTCAACAAAACTTTTAAGGTAATGTTGACGGACGGATATTGTTATATTTTCCTAATTTTATGTAACAAAATTTTATTTTGCAGAGCACCACAATGTTTGCAAACATCAATTACACCTTTAGCTGCGACTACAGTCAGTCGCCAGTTCTCCACGACACCACGTCGTAATGATTTAATGCAATTTTTCGATGATCCCAAAAATTGGAATGAAAATGAGGTTAAGGTTGGAAGAGCTTGGAAATTGGATGAGTTGCGTATTAAATCGAATAAGGAATTACATCAATTATGGTATATTTTGCTTAAGGAACGTAATATGCTATTGACAATGGAACATGAGTGCAACGATCAAATGGAATTGTTTCCTAGTCCTGATCGTTTGGATAAAGTGAAAATTTCTATGGAAAATTTAGAAACAGTGGTAAGGGAACGTAATAAAGCCTATCATTTATTGGAGACGGGAGAAACCGGTGAAAGACCCAAGAGATTGGTGGCCAATAAATTGGGTATTAACTTCATGTACAAGTAAGTAAAATTTTAACTTATTGTTTTTTACCCACTAAACCTTTTTCCTTTAATAATGTTAGATACTGTGAACATGTTTTGCCTCCTCAAATGAATGTTAAATGGATTAAATCACGTTCCATTGGCTATGGTGGTAGAGCTGTGCGCAAATTCCTTTTGCAATATCGTGAGAAATTGTACAATGAAAAACGCAAAGCCAAAAAGTAAGTGTAACAAAATATTTTTAAGTTAAATTAAATACTAATTTTGGTTTTTGTTGTATTCCAGTCGCTCTCGCAATGAGGCCATGATGCTTTTACGTCGCAATCCTCATATGGATCGTGATCTGTTGCGCCGTAAATTCCCTGGTGTAGATATAGATAAACTAGTAAATACCGATAAAATACGTGGTCATTATATACCCAAGGTACAATCGTAAAACATTTATTTTAAATAAAAAAACGTAGTTTTTTGTTTGAAAAAAAAAAATCACAATTATCTTTTATTCATCATTATCAAAAGTGATTTTTTTGCCCTGGAAGACAGTTATGGCTGGTTTGAGTTTTTGCTTAGCAGCCCAGGAGGGATGCAGATCCTGATCAGATTTAACGCTTTTAGGGGTTTGTGTTTTATTAAAAGTTTGCTGTTGCGTTTGTTTACCATTGTCGTCTTCATCTCCAAATGTTATCTTTTTACCTTGGAATCCTGTTATAACCGGTTTTAATTTTTGTTTGGCTGCCCAAGAAGGATGTAGATTTTCCTCTACATTAGTATTAGCCGCTTTATGTTTAAAATCTTGTCGGGAGTCGGTCTTTTTCCTATCATTCCATTTGTTTTGTGAAAATTTACCATCTCTTCCATTATTAGTTTGTCTATTTTGTTGCCATTTATTCTGGTGCTCCCTGCCTTCCTCCCGTTTATTCCAATTATTATTTTGTGGTCTATTTTGGTTAAAATCTCTTTGATTTCTGTCGCGGTTTTGTTCCCTTCGATCTTTAAAGTCTGTAGATTTTTTATCATAATTATTAAGTTTTATCATATGCAGGTCCCTTTTTTCTTCATTATCATTTTCATTATTTTGATTTCTCTTGATTACTGCAGTAGATAGATAATTTTCTCCAGTATCGGTTATAAAGAAAGGATCAACTACCATTTCTTCTTCCTCGGGATCCTCTTCTTCGCTAACGGGCACATTGTTAGCTACTTTATGTTTATTTTCCTTCATTGTTTTAATTTCTGGTTCATCATCACTTTCATCACCAGAACCCTCAACATCTTCAATAACTTTTACATTAAACTTTTGTTTTTTATTTGCTGGGGTCACTTTCTTAGGCATTTCTTTATTTTTCTTAATTGTTTTAATTTCTGTTTCACTCTCGCTTTCTTCTTCAGCATCTACCTCCTCTTCCTCGTCTGATTTTGTGATTTGTTCCATAACTTTTACATTTAACTTTTGTTTTTTATTGGCAGGGGTTATTTTCTTAGGATTTTCTTTTACTGGTCTTTCCCTCTTTAATTGCTTATTGGTTTTCTTTTCAATGTTTTCCACAACTTCCGCTTTAACACTTTCATTAGATAATTCCTCCACCTGCCAAGCACCTGTTGTTGATACATTCACATCCTTATCGTTTGTATCGAGTTCCTCATCGTCTCTATCCTGTTTATTCTCTTCCAACCATTCTTGCCGCTTACGTCCCATGGCTTTTTGTTGTTTCATTTCCAAACGTTTACGTCTTTTCTCTTCAGTTCTTTCGATTTTTTGTCGTCGTTTACTGGATTCCATAAGAGCTTCTCTCCATCCCTCATTTTCAGGTTCGTTTAGCTGCAGTTCTGTTTTAAACCTTTTGATTAAACCCTGCATAACTTTGTTCATACACAGCAAGGCAACTCCCACTTCTTCGGGTGTAGCTAAACCATTGGTAATGACAGCTGGTGCCGGCTTATCCAGCAGTAAAACTTTTTTCATAATATCCATTCGTTTCAGTTTCTGGAAAAATTATAATAATTGTAAAGATTGTTTAAATATCAGCTGCAATAAAATATTTCTTGACACAGAGTTTCATGATCTAGTTATTGGTGTTGCCTTTGTTTCTCTTTATTTATTTTTTTTTTTGTTTTTTAGCTTACCTTTAACAATTCCATAGTTTCCGTTGATTTTCTTATACGTTCCTTACATTTCGTATTATCTGGATGTTTTTCCAAGAGGGTCTTTAGTTTACGGATTTTATGCACGAGTTTATTAATGGTTTGTATGCGGGACTGTTGTATGCCCTTTTTATTGGATATTACCTTTAAAAAGAAATTACATTTTATTTTAGGAGATAGTTTTCAATATATTTTAACTTACCAAGTTATTAAATTTTAATTTATTTAACATTTTCTTTAATTTTTTAAGGAAAAAAATAAAAATTGTTGCTACTTCTCAAAGCGTGTTTATATTTTTATCAAGCAGAGGTATGTTCAGTTAATAATGTTTAGTGAAATTGTTAGTGCATGTTCAGTTAAAGAAAGCAGTCAGCTGTTATTTATTTGAAGGTTGCCATATCAAGGAAGAAATTTTATAGATGTCATAGAAACTGGCAAAGTAATTTGTTTATAAAAAATTAATATTAATTAGGGATTGATATTTATAACTTTTATTATAATTATTTAAAATGTTTAAAATTGTTTTTTAACATTATTTTTTAACTAAAAATATTTTATTTGTTATATTTAAAAATACCTTCTTAGGAATTTCCTTTAGGTACGGCAATATTATAAATCAGAAAACAGTCTGGCTTCTTAGAACATAAATTGATTTGCTTTATTATTTTTAGAGTAAAATAACACAATTTGTTTTTACAAATAATAATATTAAATTATTGTAATATTAAAACTAACAAAAGTTAACTAAGAAAACAAAACATTGTGCGAACAATGCCGGTCAGCAAGCTGTGTCGAATTTGTTTACAAGAAGATAAAGGACGTTCGGGAATGCAACCATTGTTCGATGAGAAAAATGCACGCTGTGCTGAAATAGTACAGCGCATTGAGGAATGTGGAGGCATAGTGGTAAATAGACTGTAATTACGGGAAAAGAAACAGTAATTTATTTAAATATTCATATAATTTTTTTAGCTCAAACATCATGAAGAATTTCCCAAAATGATTTGTTTACAATGTTTGGCCTCTTTGAATACTTCCTACAAGTTTCGTGCCCTGTGCCAGGCCAGTGAACATGCTCTTTTGGATGCTATTGTTAAGGTAAGGTATTGTATAATAGGAAAACATATAAATTATTAAAGAATTGTGTTAAACATTTTAGTCTGAAATGAAAACAGAACCATTGGAGATTGCGGCCTCTTCAAGTCAAGCTAAACAAAAGCATAACCAGGAAGATGAGGACGAGGCAGAAGATGAAATGTTTTTCGATTTACGACCCGATTATATAGAAGGTCAAGAAGTCGATTTCGATGATATAAATGATACAAAAGCCGAATTTATAAATGATATGCCTGGTGGTGGTGGTGATGATGATGATAATGAATTTTTTGGCATTGAAGAAATCGATTTGGATGAAATTGATGGTGAAGAACATTTAGATGACAGTGACTCGGATGATGATGAAGAGAAAATATTTGATGGTGAATTTGTCTCGATACCCAAAAAAGTCAAACCACAACCGAAACTTAAAAAGAAAAACAGGAACCGTCAAAAAAAGAAGATGCCAGTAAAGAAAAGGTTAAACGTGGTAGGGGACGCAAGAAAAATGAAACAGAATCTGAAACAAATATTTGTGAAATTTGTGGCAATATCTATTCGAAACGTAGTCTATTAAATATGCACATGAGACGTCATAGAGCAGAGAAACCATTTGAATGCGAGTAAGTGTAAAGGCTTTAAAAATGTTTCAATTTTTTTATATTAAAAACATGGTTCATTTTTTTTAGAATTTGTGGCAAACACTTTACCTGTCCCTCAGAAATAGGCCGTCATATACGCATACATACGGGTGAAAAACCCTATGTTTGTCGTTTTTGTGGTCGTACATTTGCCGATCGCAGTACAAATATTAAACATGAAAGGTATTTTCTATATATAACAAAAAACTGGACGAAATAAAACAAAATTGATTTATATTTATTACAGAATACATACAAATGAAAGACCTTTTGTTTGTCAAACCTGTGGCAAATCCTTTACTTATTCGAATGTCTTAAAGAATCACATGTTAACACACACAGGAGAAAAGCCATTTCCGTTAGTATAACAAGAAATACTTTATAAACAAATTCCTTTTATTTCTTATTTTTCTTTTTTCTTACAGTTGCATTCCTTGTAATAAAACCTTTTCACGTAAACATCAATTGGATCAGCATTTGAGTACAATAACGCATCAGCAAACCGTTAAAAATTTACTACCCCAACAAACTGTTGTCTCCGATGATTCGGGACATGAGTTTACCGTACAATTAACTAGTGATAGTCATCCTCATATTATACGTCAACAACATTGATAAAGCAATTTTATTTTTAATTTCCTTTTTCGTTTTTTTTTTTTGTATTGTATATAACCAGCTATTATATACTACACATAATTGATATCAATCTTTATATACAAAAATTTTGTAATTTAAATTGTTTACGATAATTTTCATGCTTTAATTGATATTTCGTTTTTTTTAGAATTATGAATCTTTTTATAGCAATAAAAAATACAAGTAATGTAATGTAAAACCTTAATTTCTTTGTTTGTTTTGGGAAAATTTGCAAAAGAAAGGGAAAGATATTTTTTTTCTTATCAAATAGTCGACGTTTTAGGTATCTTATATGCTTTGACTCTTTTCGGCAAAAATCATTTGACTCATAAAATATTGAACATTTGTTCGTAAATAAAAATAACAATTTACCAAAAATGTATCATTTAATATTTATTTTTTATTTGATTTTTTTTCGCTTTTACAATTTTTTTGTTTATTGGTTTATTTTTTTAATTAAATTTAAAGCAAATATAATTTTTAAATTGTTGTTGTTTCCTTTTCTTTAATTTTTAATATTTACACAATTTTTTATTACTTTCAATTTATTAATATTAAACTTACTTCCTTGCAAACGACATAATATTATGATGTAAAATCAAAAAAAGTAATGAAAACTTTATTCCAGGTTAAAAACTATTTACATTTTTCTCCTTCTTTTTTTTAAATTTCAAATATATATTTCTTTTTATTATTTTCTGAAAATATATATATATTTTTCTTTTTAATTTCTATATAATAATTGAAAAATAACTCAAATTTAATTTTTTTTTTTTATGAAAAAATTATCACTTTTGTTTAATATATATTTTTTTTGTTAATAATTAAAAATGTATTATTTTTTATATAATATTTCAATATTTAAATAAATTTCTTGTATTTTTTGCGGTTTCCTATTTTTGTTTTTTATATTAAAAGCAAATTATGTTTTTTTCATAATAAATTTCTATAATTAGTTTTATTTTTAGAAATTTTGTTAAAACTAAATTTAATGTAGAAAAAGAAAGTGTTTAGTATATATTTGTTTTTTAAAAACTAAATTGTATTTTTATTATTTGATGGGTAGTGTTGTTGTAGTTTGTATTTTATTTTAGTTTTCCTTTTTTTTTCGACAAAAAGTGTTTTTATTGGGTGTTGAAAGTGTTAAATTTTTTCCGTGTAAAATTATTAAAAACTCTTTTAGAAAGAATTTTTTATTTACTAAAATTAGTGATTTGTTGTTGTCTAGGTGTTTTAAGTTTTCGTTAAGTGTTTTTTTTTTAAGAATTTTTCTTTTGTTTTTTAACAGAAAAATAATTAGTTTTATTTAAAAAATTATTAAAATTATTTTATTGAATGTCTTCGTCTATTACTATTTTTTATTAGTTTACTTTTTATTTATCTTTTTAAGGGTTTAGTTTTTAGTTTAAATTGGACAAAAGAGTTGTTTTATTTATTTATTTTTTTATTATTACTTTTTTAATTTAACTACTTTAGTTATTTTTAGCCAGAGATAAGACAAATTTAAGTTTGTTAAACATTTTTTATAAAATTATAAAATAAAAACCTACAAAATATTCAAAACTTTATTGAAAATTATGGGGTAACAAAAAAATGTTTAGTTTTTAATAAAAATTTTAAATAAATTTTGAGAAAGAATGTTTTCATAACGAAAAATTTGTTTATAGAACCTTCTCACATTCAATTCGGGATGATTTCATTACTATAATTACACAGGCGAACAAAATTTGTAAAAAGTCGAAACTCAGAAACCAAAATATACTCTTCTCAAGGAAAGATCCGAATATGAACTCAAAATGTTTCCATAACATCAGATTTTCTAGATATCGTGTCATGACGTTTCAAAATCGCGTTTTTGGTCATATTTGAGGCCAAAAAAGCATTTTTCATAAACTCTGTTATGTCATCTGAAAGTCTAATCATCTGAAAATCCTATTTATTCATGTGCTAAGCTCTAAGATATATTGAAAAGGGAAGAAGATATAACAGAAGTTAGACCTTTATATTAAAGTCGACAGATTAGTCAATTCATATGACATCACATACTTTATATAGTAAATGTCTTCGCCTAGTTATAACTTATCAAATATGACGATAACGCGGCTTTTTTTAACTAAAGCTTATTTGTCCTGATGAATACTAATATAAAAAAGTAGGATAGTCGTCTTTTTATACATTGCAAAAAGTCGAAAAGTCGACTTTCTGTTTATACTAAAGAACTCCAGATTCTAATGTCCGTTGTTGGCTACACCGATACGTGATTGGTCGGGATAGCCGATTAGCCAATCCTTGGTCGTTATTCCTCGTTCTGGTGCGAAGAATCTTTTGACGTGGGATTTTGCGACTATAGTATATTCTGAATCCTATGCGTCAATCTGGTAAAAACAATATTCTAGAGACCGCAGATATCTTTGGTATCCAAATCTTCAATTATTCTATCAGATATGTTTTGTTATTTCAAATTTGCCAAATCGGTTCATAAACTACGAAGCTAAGATGAAAATTCTGAGAAAACTCATGTTTTTCTCAAATTTGGAATATAATTCGAATGCTATGTATATCCAAAAGAAAGGTATTCGTCGAAATATCTTCCATTTGATATACATACATTAGTTCTATAAATAACTTATGATTTGTCTAGAATTTTTAATACAATTCATATGCTATACTTTATAGATATATAATATGTATACCAAAAGAAAGGTAATTAAAAGACTAATCTATATGATATATTAGTTCTTTATAAGTATACGAATGTTCTAAATATGTCCCTCCGTAATCAGACAAATCTTTTTTTAATTAATTTTAACATCCAAATTTTCCTAGTTTTCGTCTTATTTTGACTTTTTTCTTACAAGAAAGTCGACTTTGTGATAAAATAGTCGACTTTGAATTTTCGATTTTGTTTAGTTAAAAATACGATTTATAGAATAGATTTGTTATTATAGCAAGTATTTG